CCCCCCCCCCCCCCCCCGGGCAGGTGTCTTGAAAAGCAAAACCTTCCTTCGCTAGGCAAGAAAAAATAATCAGGAAATTGGACCGATGTTGATATGTTCAGGCTAAGTTTGCACAATACATTTAATCAGCCCCGTTCAAGATCTAGTGGGGACATCTAAGCTTATTCTGCGCCCTGCTTCTGAAACCTCAACAAGCCACCCTCCGTGGCCAAGGTGAAGGGCCTTGAAACTAAGACATCTTGATTTATTCCTAAGCCATCTTGACTTGCATGCCCCTCTTCCCTGTTTGAGTGGACTCCCCTGACACTGATCCTGGCTGAGTACTAAACCAAACCCATTTTCAGGGTTGTACGATATCTCAGTATATCTCAGGCCATAAAGTAGTCAAAGTTCTTGGGTTCACCCAACGTGCTAAGTCACACCGACATGCGCGCCCAAACCGACCAGGTTTAAGACCAACCAACCACTGGAAGTTCTGCAAAAGCTTCTGTTGGTTAACTGGGCCCAGCGGTCAGTCCTGCTGTTCCAAGGTGCGCCTGCTGTTTCCATCTCAATCTGAAAAAAGCTTCAATTCGAACACCAAATGCCTGCTTCAAGTCTGGAATATTTTGTGCTCAAAATGGGCTGTTGCAAGCTTGGAATTCCTCCGAAGTGATTGAAACAGCCGTTCGGAGGGCAAAATGCACTGTTTTACTCACCAATTTATGGTGATGGCCCGTTCTGAGCTTGAGATGGTAGGGCTTGCGCACAGAAAGGGGTGTTTTCAAATTCAAGACCGTTCAGGTTAGAAATAATTTCCATATCTGAGGTCTGTTATATTCCTCTTGGAGACTACCCCGTGTTGGTAGCACGTGCACTGGTGGGCAGGCTTAGTTATAACCCCCTGTGATTAATGGCGGTGGTCAATTACCATTATTCGTATTTTCTTGGATTGTTTTATTTTCACCGGCAATGGCCTTTCACACAAGCTGAGCCAGGGAACGTCCTCCAGATACTGGGTGGTGGGTTGTTGGAGCCTGGCCCTGGAAAAGCTGGGCCTTTTGTGGGTGAAATTGATCCCTGCCCCCGAGCGCCAGGGGACAGAAGCTGGGGTCCGGGGCCCACTGGCTTCCAGCTCCCGTGCTCTGAAGTCTGCAAAGGGGGTGAAATCCGAAGGCTTTTTCCAGGAAGAGAAGGGGACGGACAGGCAGTGGAGCATCAGAGCCCCATTTGCTCACGACGGCTTGGAAGGGGCAGCAACCCGCGCAGGGAGGACCACCCGGGGATCCCCCCTGACTCTGTCTTCCCTTTGCAGGTCGCCCACCTCCGGGCTCACGTGCTAATCCACACCGGGGAGAAACCGTATCCGTGCGAAATCTGTGGGACGCGCTTCCGACACCTGCAGACGCTGAAGAGTCACTTGAGGATCCACACTGGAGAAAAGCCCTACCATGTAAGCAAACGCGCTGGGGCCGTCTTGCAGACTGTAAGCTCTGTGGGGCAGCGATCCTTCGCCCGGTCCAAAGACAGCCTTCAGGTTTACGGGGGGATCACCACCTCCATGGGGTGCCGTCTTTCACTGGGGCAGTCGTCTGCAGGGGGATCCAAAAAGTCAAGATGGCGGCTTTGGCCGCGCTGTGGTGGCCACCATCTTGACTTTTTTGACCCACCTTTTGGGCCACGCCTCCTGCGACCATCTCTAGGTAGCTTCTCTGGGGAGAAACCGTATTTTTTTATTGGGGCTCGGAGGGGGGTCCTTTTCCTTCTCCGTAGAGTTTGTTCCCAGATCGGGGCAATGGACGTTGCAGCCTTCCTTACCCACCACTCTTCCCCTTCAGTGTGAAAAGTGCAACTTGCACTTCCGACACAAGAGCCAACTCCGCCTGCACCTTCGGCAGAAGCACGGCGCCATCACGAACACCAAGGTGCAGTACCGCCTCTCGGGCGTCGACGGCCCCCCGGCGCTCTCCAAGGCGTGCTGCACTCTGGCGCAGGGACGGCGGGCGAGGGCCGGGGGCCCCCTCCGGAAGGGCGGGCAGCGATGTCCAAAGGATGCTTCAATCACTTTAGGAAAAACTGTTGTCGTTCTTGCTGTTCGTGTTGTCGTTGTCGTTACACATCGGAGTGCCTCTAGAAGCCCAGAGCGCAGGCGGGGAGAAGGAGACGGGGAGACAGGGACACGCTTTACGTTCGTTTTACGTTGGTTGGTTTTGTTCCCCAGTTGTGTAAACGTACGGTCGGACTACTTGTGTGCGTTGTGTGTGTGTGTGTGTGTGCGCGCGCGAATACAAGAGAGGTGGAGGGTAAACGACCTTTCTTAAAAAGTCTGTGCAGGGGAATATCAGATATTCGTCCTCCGCAGGCAGAAATCGAGGAATGTATATTGTTTTATGGGAGCAAAATATATTTCTTTTTATGCAAATATGTGTGTTTTTCACAAAAGAGAAAGAGATTGTATTTGGGATAAGAATGGGGAGGGGGCTTTAACTTTTTAACCAAAGGTGAAGGAATCTATGGCAGAATTGTAAATATATGAATATATAGGACATATATATACATATATATATATGTACATATATAT